GATATAGTACACTAATGGATGATATACAAGAGAATCGGAATTTGACAAGGAATTTTTGGAATTCTAACTTTTTAGATGGAAATTTTTTAAAAAATAATGAATTTAATGAAATTTTACGGATTTCCGTGTGGTGGACGATCATCTGCTGATCACAGTAATTTGAAAAGCACGATAAATACAATATTAACCCTCGGGTTTTTAATTTATGACATCACAGACTCAGGGTGCTCCCAAGCATCTAAATCAATAGATCTGAGTTCAATTTTTAATTAGTGGAAAATTAATTATTTGATCATGCGAGTTCATTATCGCAATAAAAAAAAAGATGGTCAGAGACCATCTTGTTTTATCATAGAGTTGTGCTGATTGGCTAAAATTTAATATCCGCATTTCGCAACGTGAGGTTTACTTCAGTTTATCGTAATACTTGTGCACGATCACTATAGCAAGTTAATTACACTGAGAAAGATGCTTTAGAGCACCCACAACCTATTAAAAATATTCAGAATTGGTTCCGATATTGTAGGTTTAAAAACCCGAAGTCTGGTTTTTTTAATGTCACATTTAGGTGATTATTTTTGAATCCAGACCAAAATGATATTACGTCATATATATAATTGGTCCGGGTTCAAAAATAACTATCCGTTTGCATAAATTTCATATATGTTCGTATACAATACACATTATATTTATACGCACTAACCACAAACCTAGAATAACTACGAAGATTAGTTACGTACAGAGTTTCAGAAATCATGACATCAATTAATATGCGATTTCTGCAATTATTTTGATGCTTGTATTACAATAATAATCAATCTGAAAAAAAAAACTTTTTTTTAAACGTTTCTAAACATCAAAATGTCATTTGTTCTGCTGTATATCAAAACCAATTTATTTGAAGCTAATAAATAGACCTGTATTAAATGCTTAAAGGAGGCATAGATTCTAGGTGTGATAATTTTAAAAACGAAACAATAGTCTTCAACACGAACTATCAAAAACACGAAAATATTCAATAGCAGTAGTGCATATTCTACCAGTATTTTTAAAACCAGATTTTTTTTCATGTTTTTGTTTTTAGTTCTCTTGGAAAATGAAAGTTTTTTATTTTTTTCAAAAGGTTTATTTATTGATTACAGTCTACTTTTTTTTTCTATAACGAATTGAATATTCTGGAAGAACATTACAGAAAATTAATGTTTTCTTAAGAACGCATGGCTCTTTTTATATCGAACTATTATGAAGTGTCAAATTTTGAGTTCGCTATCCAGAATCGACTGCATAATATTTTTTTATTAATTAATTATTAATATTATAATTCTAAAAATTTAGATTCAAAAAAAAACTCGAATCGTTTCTTATTACAGAAGCCGAACAAACCAAGTGGAAGATCCGTACCAATTGATTATCTAAACATGAATTTGATTATTTTTGAATATAATAATAATATAGCTGAAATACAGTAGAGGAGGCAGATAAAAAAAATCCGAATTAGAATTATAAATTGTAAAAATTATAACACAAAGTATATTATAATTAAAAATGATTAATTGTACTTTACTCACATAAATTATTGGATATACATATTTAAGTGATAATTTAGAAAATATTGATTCAAACCTCATATTGAATCAAAAACTGGTAAGTAATATAAAGAAATTGAAACGTGCGAAGAGTCTTCTAAGAAATGAAATAGAAGAAATGAAAAAATATTTTATTGTCTGAATAAATGATTTTGTTGAATTCACCTTTTTTCAAAAAAAAAAAAAAAAGAGTGCCAAGAATAAAAGTCGCAAAAATCCTTAAAATATTGCTGTAAACTTCCAATTATATTAATGGGTAGAAAATTAGTAACTTAAATTTTGCATAATGTCTTTTTTTTGATAAAATTTTTTTCGAATATACTTTTACTTGGTTGGTTATATGCATTCGATATTAAGTGTCAGAATTCTGTAATAAAAATCTCGAACACTGATTACGTATGCTATCTCACTAATCGTGCACACGTGTTTGCTAATTTAACGTATTATACACCACTACTTTGCTAAACCATACATTACAACTATTCGTATTACTTATATAATATATATACATTTATTTAATGGACCAGTTCGCAGTTATTTAAATAAAGCTAAAAACTATAATATCGATATAAATATGATAGGTGATTATAAATTTTTAAACAAGCGCATTTTAAATACTAAAATTATGGATGCGAATTCTTAAATTAATACTTTCATACGAAATTAAATCTATGTATTTCTTATCAAGATATCATTTGTGTATATAAAAAAAAATCGTTTAATAAATCAAATTATTTAATTCGTTTATATACATATGTCTCATTTAATAAATGGGAAATATAAAGCATTATATAAATTTGTAAAATATACGATTTCACAAATTATATATCTACTTCTCATTGAAAATTCATTTTGTATAAAAAAAGTTTGGTAAAAATAAGCTACTTAACCTATTAATATGCGTCTTGATACCTGGATATGTTCTAAATATAATACACATCCAAAACTTTCGAATCTTGAGAACCATTACAAATTCAACTCTTTTATTCTTTGTTTCCTTATTATATACTTTTTACCTTTTATACCTTTTATTTGTTTATATCTCTTTTTTTTGTTAAATTAAATTTATATTCTTATTATTCGTAAAGTAAACCACAATGCGTCCTCGAAGAAATAAAGTAAGCCAAAAACAATGGAACACTGAATATAAACGTCAATACCGAATAAGAAAATGTGCTAAACTTAGAGATGAAGAAGCACTTATTAAACAAAGACAAAAAAATACTACATACAAGCATCAGTATCGAGCTAGAATAACTAATGTGAATAAATTTTGCAAAAGTTACTCTACATATGAAACTAAATTTTGGTGGGATATACTATACACTTTGGGTGAAACACCTTTGTCACCAATGACTTTTACATGGGATCGAAGTTGTCCTTATTGTTCAACTATGCTTCTTACAGATGAACTAGCAGAATTTTGTTGTAATCATGGAAAACGTATTCTACCTTTATTACCCTCCTATCCTACAGATATAAATAGTATATTTAATAATACTAATATTAGCACCCTTTCACGAAAACTTAATTCACTCTTTACTTTCACGGCGATTGGTGTGCAAGGTCAATTTGTACATCTTTCTCCACCATCTTCAGTCTGCATTACTGGACGTACTTATCATCGTATTCTTCCAGCAAATATGCCTAATCATTCTATTCACTGGTATCTTTACGATGAACAAGAGCGATATCTTGCAGCTCAAAGTCGTGAGATCCCTGATACGTGGGTGTCGATTATTCAATCTATGTTAACATGTATTAATCCTTATGTTCATTCTTTACAAATGCTTCGAGATAATTCATCTTCTACTGCTTTACTTGAACTATGTGAAAATACTTCAACTGGTGAAGTTGCTGCTATAATACATGCAAATAATACCACCAGCTTATCACCACGTAGTATTATTATTTGGCGCCATACGGACACTGCACCTAAATTTGTAAATATTCTAAGTTCTCAGTATGAACCACTCCAATATCCACTCTTTTTTCCTCATGGTACACCAGGTTGGCATGCCAACAATTATTATGATTTATCGCAAATCGATTGGTATCGCTGTCGTTTATTGCATGAACAAAGATTTTTAATTTTCGGAAGATTGACATCTGAATATTTAGTGGATATGTATTCACGTGTTGAAGAAGAAAGATTAACCTATATCTTAAATGAAAAAAATCGACTTAATAAAGAAAAAAAAAACCAGAGACGAACAGTTACAATCATTGAAGAAGACTTTGATGATGACGAAGATGATGATGAAGATAAAGAAAAAAATCTGCATCTTCCTGCCTCATTTTTAGGGTCAAAAAGGTGGTGTTCTGCTCGTGTTGCCAATGCCCTAGCACTTGCTCGCTGTAAAGGAAAACCAAGCTTCTTTATAACTATGACCACGAATCCAAATTGGGAAGAGATTCAATCATTGTTAAGACCTGGACAAAATGCATCAGAATTGGCAACAATTGTTGCACGTGTATTTCACTCACGTTTTGGAAAATTAAAGGACCTATTACGTGAACACTTTGGAAAAATTGCTTACATGGTTAATGTAATAGAATTCCAAAAGCGTGGGCTTCCTCACGTTCATATTATCATGCGTGTACACCCTGAACTTCCGGTCGACCAAATTGACAAAATTATATCTGCCGAAATTCCCCATGAAAACACATGCTTAAAAGAAATAGTAAAAAAATATATGCTCCACAGACAACAACATTCACCTCGTTGTCTTCACAATGGCACCTGTATTTATCATTATCCAAAACCAATTATTCCAGAAACCTATATTGATGAAAGAGGTTACATACAATATATCAAGAAACTGCACGTGAAATGGGTTTATTTGCAAACGAAAATGAAAGTATGTTCGTTATGAAAGAAGCCATTGAAAATTTTTCAACACCAGCACAATTACGCTTTCTATTTACACAGCTAATCTTAGATGGTGCTCCTACACTTGATATTTGGCAAAAATTTAACTCGAATCTTTCTGCAGATATATATAGTAATTATCCAAATGCCATTAATACTACCCTCCAACAAATAGCCACATTACTTGCTGAACATGGGCGACGTTTACATGACTTTGGTCTTCCAGAACCACAAACATGGACCAAAGAAGTAACTATGGAATATCAACGTCATTCTGACTATGCCCGATATAGTCGACTTGCTGAAGAATTCTGTTTAAAAATGACTTCAGAACAATTAACTTTTCACAATGAAGTTATAGCTCATATACTATGGAAACCTGAAGAAGGCCCTATTCCAATATCAAAATTCCCAAAATTCTTAGATGGAAAAGCCGGTCGGGGTAAAACTTTTCTTATTAATGCGATTTGCCACTCAATTCGTGCTGCAAAAAAAATCGTTTTACCATGTGGGACCACAGCATTAGCAGCATTATTATATGAAGGTGGTCGCACAGCCCACTCATTATTTCGA